AGTCCCGTCTCCAGCTGTAGTAGCACTCCCTTGTGTGCCCTCTGCTACTTCCACCTGACTCTCCTCTTCCTCATGGTGTCCTGCCCTGCTCTCTACCTCCTCCTTTCGGGCTGAATGGCTGGTCCTGCTAGCTCTTCGCTCGCTACCCTCTGCTCTACCTCCTTCGGGTGCCACTCCCATTCCATCTCATCCCCAATCTGCTCTTCCTCGGTCTCCTCCTCTCTACCAGCTGCTGCTGTTCCTAATCCTTCCTGGTTAGCCTCCTCCAGCAGTTCCTCCATCGTTTTTGCTGTCTCTGCTGACTCTTGGCTCAAGCCTTTCCACTGGGGATAAGTGACATCCTCATATAGAAAGTAGTATCCCGAGTAATCAGCACCTTCCCAGTCTCCACGCCCTTCACCACCCAGCCCTTGCAGCATCTCCACAAGCTTTGTGAGTGATGAAGGCGGGTTGCAAGTCAGCATGCCTATCTCCATCTCCCACTCCTTCGGTAGCCCATTGATGATATACCCTATCATTTCTCCCTCGGATTCCGCCACACCCATCTCCTGCAGATCATCGTTATAACTCCGCGCCCTGTTCACGAACTCGATAATACTCTCCTTCTCCAAGCGGTCGCTTTGTTGGTGTCGGTATGACCAAGGTAAACCGTCTCCATATACTCCCACGCCCTTCACAGAGCTTGCTCCAGTCTCCACGCCCTTCACAGAGCTTGCTTCATCATCCTGAAATCTGAGGGCCTGGGGAGCACGCTACCCCAATTGTTACAACCAAGAGGCGTCATGATTCCAACAGCCCACCCAACCACCAACCACAATTGAGTGCGATTGATGGAACTCGGATGAACAAGCGTGACGAGTGCGGGATGACATTTTTCCAGGAGGATTGAGCGGCAGAGTTGTTTGTGTGCGAGGCATGACATGTAAGTGCGGCATAACCTGCAGCAAGAGGTTCACCTTGTGGGATATGGAAGGAGGCGCGTGGTGAATGGATGGAAAGCACGGGAGGGATGCAGCATGGGAAGGCATGCAGCATGGGCTGGGATGCAGCATGAGGTGGGATTGAGCATGGGGTGGGGGGATGCACCATGAGGTGAGAAGCAGCATGGGGTGAGATGCAGCATAGGGTGAGATGCAGCATGGGGTAGGATATAGCATGGGGTGGGATACAGCATGGGATAGGATACAGCATGGGGCAGGACACAGCATGGGGCAGGACACAGCATGGGGTAGGACACAGCATGGGGTAGGACACAGCATGGGGTAGGACACAGCATGGGGTAGGACACAGCATGGGGTACGATACAGCATGGGGTACGATACAGCATGGGGTAGGATACAGCAAGATGTGGGATGGGATGCAGCATGAGTTGGGATGGAGCATGGGGTGGGGGGACGCAGCATGAGGTGCGAGGCAGCATGGGGTGAGATGCAGCATGGGAGGGGAATGCAGCAAGGGTTAGGATACAGCATGGGGGGGGGGGGGATACATCATGGGGAAGGATACAGCATGGGAGGGGTTACAGCATGGGGTGGGATACAGCATGGGGTAGGATACAGCATGGGGTGGGATATAGCATGGGGTGGGATACAGCATGGGAGAGCGGGAGAGATTATGGATGAGAAGGTGAGCAGGAGAGCAGGAGAGCGGGAGAGCGGGTGAGCAGGAGAGCAGGAGAGCGGGTGAGCAGGAGAGCGGAGAGCAGGAGAGCAGGAGAGCGGGAGAGGAGGATTGCAGGCGAGCGGGTGAGCAGGAGACTGGGGGAGCGGGAGAGCAGGAGAGCGGGTGAGCAGGAGACTGGGGGAGCGGGAGAGCAGGAGAGCGGGTGAGCAGGAGACTGGGGGAGCGGGAGAGCAGGAGAGCGGGAGAGCAGGAGACTGGGGGATCAAGTGAGCAGGAGTGCGGGAGAGCGGGAGAGCGGGCGAGCCGTAGAGCGAGAGAGCGAGAGAGCGAGAGAGGGATAGAGCGAGAGAGCGAGAGAGCGAGAGAGCGGGAGAGCGGGAGAGCGGGAGAGCAGGAGAGCGGGAGTGCATGAGAGCAGGAGAGCAGGGGTGGGAAAGACAGGGGGCGGGTGAGAGGGAGAGTGGGAGAGCGGGACGGCTGGAGAGCGGGAGAGCAGGGGGGGGGTTTGGTTGGATAGCAGGAGAGCGAGAGAGCAGGAGAGCGGCAGAGCAGGAGAGCGGGAGAGCAGGAGATCGGAGAGCAGGAGAGCGGGAGAGCAGGGGATGCAGGTGTGGTGGGGAGATGGGGGGGGAGAGATGAGGGCAATATGGGAAACACGGAGGTGACAGGCAAGGGGGGGTTGCTGCCACACCCACTCTTGCTCCTGTATGCTTGGAAGGACAGAGAATAGAAGGGGAGGGAAGGGGGTAAGGGGGGAGTGGGGGATTGAGGGAGGGGTGGGATGGGAAGGGCCGGAGAGAGCAAAGCGAGTCGCAAGGAGGAGGAGGCAAGGGACGCAAGGGGGTGGAAGAGAGAGCCCAGCTGCCACGCCCACTCTTGCTGCGGCTGCACGCTTTGAAGCACGCACACAGGAGGGGGAGTGGAAGGAAGGGGGTGGGGTGCGAGGGAGGGGTGGGGTGGGAGGAAGGGGAAGAGCGAGCAATGCGTGGCGCACGGAGACAAGGGATGCAGGGGGGTGGAAGAGATGGCACAGCTGCCACGCCCACTCTTGTTGCGGCTGCACGCATGGAAGATGCAGGAGAGGAGGTGGAAGGGATGGTGCATGAGATGGGAGGGAGGGGTGGGGTGGGAAGGGGGAAGAGAGAGCAAAAAGAGACGCAAGGAGGAGGCAAGTGAGGGGGGGGGAGGGGGGGGGGTTCGTGCTGCCACGCACACTCTCGACTGACACATTCTGCATGCTCCGCGCTACGTCAACTCCGTCGCTTCGCGCGCATTCCCATCCGCCGCTCCGCGCATCTTCAACCCCGCTATTTGTGCAGCCCGCGCTAGAGTGGTCCGCTTGACCTTCTCGCGTGACTGCTTTCACGTGATCCTGTCCCGTCTGCGAATTCCGTGCGACCTCTGCGACGACTGCGACTGCTGGTGATCCTGGCTAGACTGCAGCGCCGCTTGCTGCGACTCTTGCGACGAGCCCGTGGGGTGCGAAGGAGCACCCGCTGCGACGAAATTGAGGTCGCGGGCAGCATGGTGCGCATCGTTTTAAGTGAGGCGACGTGCGACAGACGACGTGCAAGTGTGCGACACCTGAGGTTACGTGAGTTGCAGGAGGGACACACGCTTACTGGTCCCTAAGCGAATGCTTTAGGTTGGTTCGGGAGCGACAGGTCACAGGACAGGTGAAGTGGCAGCGGGCGGAACGGCGCGACTCTCGCAAAAGCGATGGCTGGAAAGGGCTACACTAAGAGCGCGTTCTGAAGTTTGGCCGAACAGCCGTCAAAATGCGAATGCTCCACCCTTCTTCACCAAAGCCTTCATCAGCACCCCAACCAAAAGGAGATGGCCTTAAAACCCGCGTGTTTAATTACTCGAGTTTCGTATCTCTGGTTGGAAGATCGCTTGAAGTGCTGCCCGACAGCCAATCCTGTCTTTCCACCTAACCAACCTACCTGTTGTTGAACTGCTTGGCACACTTTTTTTAACTTTCATTCTGGTGGAAACTTGGTGATTTTTTTTTCAAGACAAGTTTCCCACAATTATCTGGAAGCTGGCCATCAGGTGTCGCAGTCCTCTGCGGCCCAGATTGTGTTCTGTCCCATATCGTTGTGTGGATCGCCTGACGATTTGATTTGGCGCGATTCGGTTCCGTTCGCAAATTGTCGCGGCCTGGTCGCCTAGTTTTTCGCAGAAAGGTTGGCCGAAGTTCACCTACCACAACTTTTGCCAGCCAAAACCTCAAACTTTGGCCAAACTTTCGCTGACGTGGCGAGTCCGGTTCGGCCAAACTTCAACTCGGGCCAAACTTCCGAACGCCCTCTAAACCGAATGCAGAACTCACCCCTTAAAAACGCATTTCTTTTGTGCCAGCACGACGTCCGCTGTGTTTGCTCGACGGGAAGGGCGGGGGACTGCGTCTATAACCAAGGAGTGCAGAGTCATCCTCAAGGCACTTAGCATCTTGGTGGGTTGGTGAGATGCGTGTTATGATTTAGAAGATGTCAATGCACTATAACGTGAGAATCCAAGGTCGCTATTGCAATGAAAGCACGAGGCTATATAAGAGTAGACGTAATAGGGCGATAGCCTCGGGACGTGGATAGGTTCGGCAATGAGGCGACACTGTCGGACGCGACTCGAGAAAGGGTTGGGTCGAAAATGTAGGCCGAACGTGCGAGTCGAAGTGTTCGGTGTACGCGGTAGCGGCCGACTTAGTAAGGAATGGAAATTCCTTACACTATCCCCCCCTCCTAAACGAGTTCGTGGGCACCGGAAACATTCCGACGCTGATAATACGCCGTTAGAATCGGATGTGATTCTAGGTCAGCGAGAGGCACCCAGCTATCGTCTTCGGACGTGCGATCGCGCCAGCGGACGAGGAAATCAACCATCCGTCGGTTCAGCTGCGTTGTGACGCGATGGCCCAGAATCTTTAAGGGCTCGGTTGTCGGTTCTCGCAGGGGCGTCAGTTGCGGTACCCCGTGTTGGCGTGCCACGTCGAATGAACTGGGGACGTTAGGCCGTAAGAGGCTGACGTGGAAGGCCGGATGGTGGCGCCAATCAGCCGGGAGTCGAAGATGATTAGTGTCAGGTGTCAAGTGTCCGCAGAATCTGGGCCGGAGCTTGCTCGGTATCTGCAACCGCAAGTTGCGAGTGTCGAGGAGGACGAGATCGCCCACGTTGTAAGTGACGGTACGGCGATGACGGTCGGCTTGTCGGCTTGCGACCAGGTTGGCTTTCCGAATTGCTTCAACTGCTTTTTCCCGAGCGGCGAGGATCTCTTCAGCAAATTTCTGGGACCGGGGTACAGGTGACTCGATGTTCGGGGTCCGGGTACCACTGGGTCCTGTTCGTAGTTGAGGGAAAATGGGGACTGATGGGTGGTGGCAGAGGTCGCGTTATTATACGCGAATTCTAGCAGCGGAAGGGATTTCTCCCATGTCTGTGGGTCAGTACAGGTAGTCCGAATGAGTTGTTCCATAGTTTGGTTGACTCGTTCGGTTTGCCTGTCATTCTATGGGTGGTAGGCGGAGGAAATCTGTAGTTTGGTGCCGAACTGCTCCCACAAGTGGCGCTAGAAATTCGACGTGAATTTCGGGTCTCGATCTGAAATGATGGCAGAGGGCAGGCCATGCAGTCGGATGACGTTCGTGAGGAACAGCTGCGCGGTTTGTTCGGCTGTGATTGTCTGTTGGCAGGCGATGAAGTGCGCCATTTTCGTGAGTCGGTCAACGACCACGAGGATGGCGTCGTTTCCGCTGGGGCCGGCCGCAGTCCTGTCACGTAGTCCATCGTGACTTGTTGCCAGGGTCGCTCGGGCGGATCCAACGGCTGTAGTAGTCCGGCTGCTCGCAGATGCGACGATTTCATAATCTGGCAGGCAGTGCAGGAGGACACGTGCTTGCGCACGTCATCGGCCATGTTCGGCCAGTAATAATTCCGCTGCAGCATCTTCGTGGTTTTATCGACGCCGAAATGTCCTAAGGTAGGGTTGTCGTGGGATTCCTGGATTAGAAGGGTACGGAGTAATTCGTACCCGGGTACCCAGATGCGAGAAGTACAGCGCTTATGAAAATAAGGTCCGGTGGCGGTGGTATGCTGTTGATGGATAGCAGAGCGGAAAAAGGGATCGTCTTGTAGCCGTGGGTGAATAGTCCGTAGTAATGGGTTGGTCTGGGCGACTAGTATCGCGGCGGTATGGCAGTAGGGCGGTAAGGCATCGGCGATATTATTGGCACCCCGTTTGTAGATGATGGTGTAATGGAAATTTGACTCGAGGAAATCGAGCCATCGGATCTGTCGGGGTTGAGATTCGGTTGGGCGTGCAGGTACTATAAGGATTTGTGGTCGTCCGCACCGTGACGTCAGCGCTGTCAGGTAGCACCGCCAGGTTTGAACGTGGACGATCGCCAGCATTTCCTTGTCGTGACAGTATAGTTTTTTTCCGCGCCCTGCAGCTTCCGTGATTCGTAGGCGACTGGCTGTAACCCGTCGCCGAAATCCTGTAGAGAACTGCACGATGGCGATGTCGCTGCGTCGGTGACGACTTCGTATGGACGGTCAGGATCGGAGATGCGAAGAACGGGCGGCGTCATGAGGGGCGATTTGAGTTGGTCGAATGCAGCTTGCTGCTTCTCTCCCCACCAAAAACAATCGTGATCTTTCAGTCGGTCGGTTAGCGGGGCAGATAATACAGCCATATTTGGGATAAAACGGCGGACGTAGTTGACGAAAGCGCAGAAAACTCAGCAGCTCCTTGATGTTGGTCGGCAGCTTCCACTCCTGTATGGTCTTGATTTTTTTGGGGTCGATTTTCACTCCTTCGGTAGATACGACGTGGCCCAAAAACTCCAACTCCTGCTTAAGAAAGTCCACTTAGATCCTTTCGTGATGAGGCGATTCTTGTGCAGCAGCGTGAAGACTGCATCAAGATCCTGTAAGTGCTGCTCCCTGCTGCGGCTTGTAGATTAGGATTGTCGTCGAGGTAGATAATCACGCATTTATCCAGGAGTTACCGGAAAACGCCGTTCATGGTCATCTGAAAAGTTGAAGGCGCGTTCGTGAGACCTAATGGCATCACCAGGTATTCGTAACTGTCGTAGCGGGTTCGTAATGCGGTTTTGTGGCAATCTTCGGCGGCGACGCGAATTTGATGGTAACCTCCTCGCAGATCGATTTTCGAGAAGAACTTGGCTCCGCGAAGTTGGTCGAGTAGATCGTCGGCTCGCGGGATCGGATAACGGGACTTGATGGTGATGCGTTTGAGCGCGTGGTAGTCGATGCACATGCGGAATCCTCCATCTTTTTTTCGGTGTGAACAGGATCGGGGCGACGTATGGGGACGTGCTGGGCCGGATAAAACCCTTCGTCATAAAGTAATCCAGCTGTTGCTGCAATTCTTAGAGTTCCGGTTGGCTGAGCTGAAAATTGTCGCTGTACTGTCAGTTGTGCACCTGGTTCCAGCTCGATGCAGTATGTCTTCAGGTCGGCTTGGCGGAAGTCCGGCGGGTAAGTCGTCCGGGAAAATCTCGAGGTATTTTTGAATCAGGTCTGCTAAATCGGAGGAACGGCTTTGCACAGCTTCGCGATAACTTCGGCAGTGGTCGGCGACGTCACCTCGCGAAGATCAACGGCGTACGCTGCAGCTCCCGCTTTTATCGCGCGCTTGAAAGTGATTGCGTGGACTTGAGTGCTTCGCATTCGGGGTCCCGTCCATTTCGGTAAATCGCGATAGATCCCATCGAGCTTGATGCTGCAGCTGCCCGTCGTCCAGTCGATCCTCGGGTTGTACTGTCGCAGCCAGTCCCGTCCCAGCAGCACGTCGCACCGTCGAGTGTAATCGCCAGCAGCCCCATCTGAAATTTTACGTGCTCGCCACAATGGAAACTGACGTGCTCGACCCACTCTCGTATGGCCAGCGGTGTTCCATCCACCAGTCGTGCGTCAATCTCGGATAGACATTTTTTTAAAGGGATACCCTTTTTTTTTGCTCTGTCCAGCTGTATGAGACTGTGACTCGCGCCTCCATCCACGAAGATTTTCAACAACACCCGTTGACTTTACCCTCCACCAACACAGGGTGATCAGCAGTTTCGTCCCTTTTATTCGTCCGGGTCCGGTCGATTGCCGCAATCGGGATCACGATCCAGTGGGGACTGTGTAGCTCGGGCAAAGAAGCCTGCCCGTCAGTAAGGGGCCCGGTATTTACTGACACGACCCATTTCCCGGTCGCTCCTCCGGCTTCTTCCGCATAGAATTTTGGATGGCTATGAACTCTTGGCAGTCCTGTTTGATGTGACCCGGTCGGCCACAGTGGTAGCATAGCCCCGTATTTCGCAGAGCAACTGCGTAAATATCCACTGCGTCCATCCCTTTTATCGTGGCACGCTGGTACTGTTCTCGAGGGGCGACCTCCGTCGTAGAAGTTCTTCCCGGCTTCGTGAGCGAATCAGCGGCTTCGGTGAGTTGGGATGAAGTCTTGTAACCGCTTCGCAGGTCGTTGTAATTTTATTTGGTACTGTATTTCAGGCTTCAGTCCGCCCATGTACCTGTCGACCTTCTCCAACTCGTGCATGTAGCCACATCGATCCACCAACGTTAGGAATGACGCGGTGTAGTCATACACAGATCCCAGCTGCTTCCACATGCGTAGAGTCTCGCGCGCTTTGTCTGAGTCAGGGGCGTGCTCAAACCGCTTGCGAAGCTCCGCGCACCACGTTGCCCACGTGCGAATGTGAGTTGCACCAAACAGTAAGTCTGCCTCGTCTTCGTCGCCGAATTCTTCGGACCACTCATGCTGTCCTTCTGTGCGAGTTGCCGCGGAGTCAACGATGACCTTCCACCACTGTAGGGCGGCCCCTTGCAGCAGTGTCAAGCATGGCTGATCCGCTTCTGATCGTCTCGGATGCCCCCCGCGTTAAAGTAGATATTCATGGCGAATATCCACTGCCGCACCGTCACGCCTTTATTAGCTGGGTCGAAAGGAGCGGGTTGCTGATATCTCACACCGCCACTTGTCGAGCGCAGGGCTGTTGCCGCTAGTCGTGCCAGCTCCATTGGCGTCGGTTGCTGCTCAGCCCGCCACGCTTCGTGCATCGTCGTCCAGCTCCTCTGAACGCTTTTCCTGCGCCTGGCGAAGTCGTTGGTTCTCGTCACGGAGGTTGTTGACGACGCTTGTCAAATTATTCAACTCCTCTAGTAAAGCTTGCAGGTCCACAGTTTCCTGGGCAGAGTTCGCAACAGTCGAGGTCGTCTGTTCCTCAACCGTCGAGTCTACCGGGGCCATGGCCGTCAGGACGGGGCAGAAACTAGCGCACACGCTGTAGTTGTTGACGTAAAAATATTTACGATCGAAGACAACTGCTGTGCACCCGTGTTAATCCCCTCTGACCACCCTTAACTCATTCAATGGGAAAACGGAAGGTTCTTGGAAAGCTCGGACTCTGATACCAGCTGTTATGATTTAGAAGATGTCAATGCACTATAACGTGAGAATCCAAGGTCGCTATTGCAATGAAAGCACGAGGCTATATAGGAGTAGACATAATAGGGCGATAACCTCGGGACGTGGGTAGGTTCCGCAATGTGGCGACACTGTCGGACGCGACTCGAGAAAGGGTTGGGTCGAAAATGTAGGCCGAACGTGACGAGTCGAAGTGTTCGGGTGTACGCGGTAGCGGCCGACTCAGTAAGGAATGGAAATTCCTTACAATGCGCATTTTGCATTGCTGACCCTGCGTCGTATGGTTGTCGCTCGGCCAATCACGTAGTTGCACCTGCCAAGTTTACCCCTGTTATGGGCCAACAGGGTTACCAGGTGTCAAGGGTGTTGGCGTGTCCAGGGTTTGCCGTTTGGAAGGTTCAAGGTCCTTTGAGCCTTGAAGTTATTGTACACTTGCGCTTTAAAGCGAGCACATAGAATAACTTTATTTTCAAAGTGATTTGAAACTGCTGAGTGGCGAAACCAACCAGCCGATGCACAGAACAAACTGCGTAACCCAGTTGGGGCGAGAGGGGGGGAAAAATTAGCAGAGGGGGGTTTCTGATTGGCCAAGCGACAGCCCTGCGACGCAGCTAGCTCGCCCAGCAGAAAAGCTTCTCCCTGCCACCAAGATCTAAATCTTCTTGGTGCGGATTCTGTACTCACTGACTATGGCTGTAACGCATGGCCTCTGCACAGTACGCGGGCCTAGAAACAATCGTCCCAACTACCTTCCACGAATTGGCTACCTACCTACTCTAGGTAGCGCGAGATGGGAAGGAAGGGTTGGGAGGGGAGGATTGGGATTGGTCGATACTTGGGACCAATCAGATTTTAGTTGTACAGATTGAGTTAGAGAAATACCCAACGCACGCGATGGTTGGATTTGCGACCAATTACAGTGGCGGAAACAATTGTCCGTATGTTTTGCATTATTTTGGGTTTTTAGGCTTGAACACCACTATACATTAAGCCTTAATTTTTAATGGTGGTACGATTTTGGAGGGACACATATTGGATGTGTTCACAACACAAATATCCAGAATAGTACATTTGATGTAACTCATATCCCAAAAGACATACAAATGGTACATCCGGACAAATAGTTCCAAGCAGAGAGAGCAAACTTCAAAAGTGCGTTTCTAGTTCCTAGCCCACCAACCTTTGGTCTTGATCACCGCCCGCACCCTCTTAGGCATGCTGTCGATGAGGCTAGAGCAAACCTCGGCATGGATCTTCTCCCATTTTTCTTGGACCAGGTCTTAAAGCTCCAGCATTGTAGTGGAAGGCCTTTTATGCTTGGCCAGCTCCCTTTTCAGGTAAGCCCAGAGGTTGAGTGTTGATGAGAAAGAAGGCCACTCTAGGGCTCCATACTCATGTTCTCCGAGTCATTCCTGCACTAGGCATGACAAATTCTTGGGGTCATTGTCCGCACCGAAATGACCTCATAGGGTAAAATGCTATAGAAATGGAGGGTCAATTCGATTTCATCATGCAAAATGCCCTCAAACAGAGGCCTGTCCATGTGCCCGTCAATATTGCATATGAACCCCACCCCCGCACATGCCACACATCCCCACATCATCACCAATCCTTGTCCCCATGATTTACCATCTGTTTGATTTGGTGGAGCTGCAGGGTTATGCCTTCACGAATCTAGGCAAACGCGCGGCAATTGGAGCTGAAGCAGTTGATGTTGGTCCCATTTAACCAGATTACATGCTTTCGAACACTAATTGTCCACCTAGCATGCGACTCCACGAATTGCAGCCGGAACCTGATATTTATCCAGAACATTCATGACTTCTACGAGTGCTGCACCG